ACGATAGACGGTGAAGGTCCAGGATCTGGCCGCAGGTTAACTGATTTGCTGATCATGAATTCTGCGTAATTTTACATGACAAGACCTTGAGAGTTTTTAAGATCTGAACTGAAGTTAAAAGCGGAAGGGGCATTTATTTGTACGGTAGATAGCCAGTCCACGACTGAGCACAGGGCCCGACGCGAGTCCGTTTCTAGGCTTTTTGAAACGACGTCCCCTTGACTTTCGCCCCTTCGACCCACGGAAACGTCGACTAAAAAGAACCTAGTTTTTCTGTTTTTTCGGACCCACAGAAATAACATCCCCTTTACTTTTTCGCCCCAAAAACGAAGTCCAGCCTGCTTCCAGACTATCTGTGCCGGGCCCTGACTGAGCATTATTGCAGCGAAAAAGCATAATATTCGTAAACAGTAAGCTTGGAACCATAAAGGCTACGCGTAGAGCAGATTTTGAACCTACCCGCCAAATACCCACCGTGACTATGGAAAGTGGTCCTACTGCGCAGCATTGACATCATATTCGTGATTGGCTGTAAAATGACTGTCCTGGGCAATGTTAAAAAGTCCATGGTAAACCATGCCATAAACCTGTGCAACTTCACCATGAGACGCTACTGTAAAGAGTGCATATAATCCGTGGTCAGCATATCGAATATCCCTCTCCCCCTCCTCTTGTGCAGAGTCCCGGCAAGATCTGAGATCTTGATCCCATAATACCATGCCTAGTAAGCGCTCGAAAAGGCCCTGCCATTCAAAATCAATATTATTTTCGTGATCAGGAGAATGAATATCCCCTTAAGCGAACTTTTAGCAAAAGCGTGATCTTGAATTTGTGAAATGTATGAAGTGGAAAAACGTCAGGCTTACTTTACTTCATTTACCAGTATACGAATGCTTCACAAAAGAAGAGAAAAATGAAACTTCGAACAAATAAACAGTCATGGTACCATCCAGCCGTAAAGCTTAGGGTGACGAACACGGATAAGGAACTCTCAGTTTTACAGAATATGCAAATATCTTGCCAGGAGAAGTTGCAAAAATGTCTTCTTATGAAACAAATATGCTCTAGAACTATTCTTTAAGCCTTCAGTCATCCGTTGATTGAGTGTCAACGAGCGTGCTTGCGGTAGCTCTGACTTGAACCCTACAAACAATTATTTGAAGAGCAAGATTGTGAAAGTTTGATTGCAATAAAGACACACACGAGCAGTAAAGGGAAAGCATTAATTTGTCCAGCATAGATTTTTCCAGCAACTGCGAGACGAAAATATACAAATTTTGTAACAGTCTCTGAACTGACCATGTTTAGGACCACGTGAAATCAATAGCAATAGGGAGAATGACAAAGCAGTGAGAGAATAGTTCAGTGACGAGATTGCAAATGCGAGATGTCAACCTTATTTAGATCTATTTGGAGTGGAAAAGCGATAGGAATGGGTACTTTGTTGCGAATAACATGTTCTAATCTCCATCGTTATGGAAAGGGGTAGCGGCACCAGTCCAGAATACACAACCCAAAAATTCGGTATCTCGGATTTTGATACAGGGATTATTTGGAATGCTGATCACGGGAATCGTATTCATTTCGCATGAAAAGGTCATTCTTGTTGGGTTACGATAGGGGATCAAAGTCTCGGATTTGCCCGAAATTTCGTTTAGGGGGTTATCCGACTCGCCGATTACGATAACATCAATTCTTCACCATAGCGAATTATGGTGGGCCAGCAATGGGTCCATTACATACAATACCACCCACAGAATGTGCAAAATTTTTGCTCATTCTGTGGGTGGTATTGTAATGCAAGAATAGGGGACCTTGAAGTGGGGGTTAGCCACTCCGGTGGGTCAAAGTTTTCGGTCCCTCCTAAAACCTCGCTTCTTCTTGACTACATTGAGATGATCTTCCTTCTCACGTCCTCCCCCTCCCGCAAGTCGAATTACCTCCCTACACGCGGTTTCGGACAAATCCCTAATTTTGACTCCATACCGTATACCTACCGTAACCCCTCAAAAATTGTCCCTTCATGCAAAATACTTTTCGTGATCAGCATGTCAAGCAATCCCTGTGTGCAAAACTCCAGTAAAATCCAAGATTTATTCTAGGGGTGAGTATGTTACGCATCAACCCTTCTTGCCCTTTCATTCATCAATTCATTTCGACGCGCTATTATGCACCTTTTCACCGCTTGCGGGCAGTGACTCCAAAAGCCTGCAAAAAAAGGTGTCTAAATCAGAATCCGAATAATTGATAAGGCCATTAACGACCTCTAGAAACGGGAAAAACATGATAGCATCGGTGGACGCTGCCTTCAATGCGCTGCCGCTTTAGATAGAACCGTAATATATCTTTCTTTACTCATCTGATGCAGCAATTCGACCTAAAAATTGAGAATGGTGGCAGTTAAGTTGTTTTTTATGCAGGTAAAGTTTTACTCAAAACTGTGATCCTTATGATACTCATTGAGTATTGTATGTAGTTTTGGGAAGGCGAGAGTGAATATCTGAGGAAGGAACAGGTGAAAATCGATGTTGTACCATTGTTTTGAAACTATAGTCCCCACGCTTACAAGATTTATAATACTGTAGGTTGTGGTTGAATTGTTTTTCTTTCTTCGATACAACCTAAATTTTCAAGGTGGTTGCTATGATAACGCTGGCAAAAACAGGAAGAGATGTTTGTGGACAGAAATCCGAGTCATTTCGCAGAACTGATACCTGATATACTTTTCTTGGCGTTCGAAGTTAATTTTCTTCGTTTGAGATACTTGATTACCTAATAGGGGTGGAAATGTTACTAATGTCGAAGCTGAGGCCTGAGAGGCTCTACGAAAAAAGGCTGAAGTGAGTTGGCTGAGATCTTGGATATCTTTTTGTCAAGTATTGCAGTTCTAATTTTATTGAATTGGCCGAGGTCTGCGTACCTCATGCATCCGCAAGCGAAGACGACAGAGACCTTGTCGTAGAATTCTTTGGTAATGAAGTTGTACAGTGAAAGAAAAGCGTTATCGAAATGTATTGGATGCCTCTTGTCAGGTACAACTTTTGAGTTAACACTGCCAGATTTTCCTAATTCAAAAATTGTAGGAATGCCACTCGTAGCGTTTGTTGTTATTGATAGCTCTTACCAGCTACCTTTACGAATGGAAAATAAGAGTGATGAGCGGAAAAATATAAAACCTGTGAAATCAACGGGAGTTATGTTACTCCCACAGCGGTCAGTAATGGTGATCTTGATAAAGTTATCGTTAACTATGAGAACTGCGTACCGGTACACATTTCTTATCTTCCGCTCAGTACCGTACTCTAAGACGCTGATTGGTCCGCTCGAGACGAGTACAGTACGGCGAGATTTATGTCGCCGCCACAAATGAATATATGAACTGTCTCTTGGACATTAGCTCAGTTAGAACTTCCAGTCACTTTTAACTAGTCACGCCACGCAGATTTTGGACATTGCTTTGATCCTGAAAAACTATCGCACAGATCATATTACGCATGATAGGTAAAAAAATCGTATTAATCATTGTTAACGAGTTTGTCTTCACCTTTTTCACTTTGCATGATTAGAAATGTTGATCATTGTGCAGAGAAAGCATTATTGTCGAATTACATTTCCTAGTCAACTTAGAAACAGGAGGGTGCGGAAAGCTAAGACTCCCACATAGACCGTTGTTTTTCTTTCCAAAAATTCATGTATCTGGACTGAAAGAAACATAAAGTAGCACCCCTATACAGTAAACTCGCCGACAAAATTTCCTGCAAAGATTGAAGGTGGAGTCTGATACACAAGACACACATTTTTACTGGGGAAATCTCCAGAGCTAGAGAAAAGGATGCCTGGTGTGTTCTAGCGAGAATCGCCAAACAAGTCAACTATTTCACGTTTCTCGTTACTATGTACTTAAGCACACAATCTATTTTTTTCAACCCTATCGTAGAGGCACGAAGCGTTGCGAAACAGTTCTTCGCATCGTCGTGGGACCCAATCGTGATGGTGTTGTTTTGATGGTGGCGTTGGATCCCCAAAATTTGCACAATGGTGAGTTTTATGTTCTCGCTATCTACAAGATATAGGTACTCTCATATCACTTAAATGATGGAACATAGCCATAAACTTCGATAACTTTCTAATGCATTTCCTCTTATCGCTGAAGGGTGCTTTGTAGACACAAATCGTCGAGCTTCCAATATGTGACGATCGCATAAGAATCAATGTTGGCGGACGTGTTTTTGAGACCTCCTTCTCAACCCTTACCAACGTGGAAGGCTCTGTGAGTTCAAACTCGCTTATATCTTGCCCATTTGTGTCCTGATTTCGTCAGGTGCTATTTGCAATGGCTAAGCGTGGACGGAACCAAGAGGAGCTCTTTATCGATAGGAACCCGACTTATTTCGCACAGGTAGGTATAGATTCCGCAGTAATTTTTTCACCCTCACATTTATATGGAATTTCATTGCAGGTACTAAATTACCTACGAGATGGTGAAAGCTTTTGCCCTCCCGTAGACGATGAGGCTCGGGAACGTCTTCATAAAGAAGCTGAGGTACATTTCAGCAACAATCTCTACTTGCTTATCCACATGCCTTCAGTTCTACAAGCTGCCCAGCCTCGCAGAAATATGCTTGCCATCGGATTTTCACGTCGGGGATATCGTACAGTGGAACCAAGGCGCAATTAAAATTTACTGGAAATTTTTTGTGAAGTTAGAAAATGCTTTCTGAAAATGCAATCATAAAATCCCCTATAAGTTGTTACAGTCACAACTCTCTAGTTCGGACGCATGTCGTTTCTATAACTAAATTGTGCGTTTGCACACATGATGCTCATAACGCTCAGATACATTGCGCTGGGAATGAGTAAGAGACAGTGGGAGCGCTCATTCGGAAGAAGTGCGTAGCCGTGACCAACATAGTTGTGGATCACGCGCAAGCAGCGTGTTTTCTGCAACTTCACACAGATGATTTGACTCTATACATCAGTTCAATGAAAGGTTTTTTTAGGTATCAGTACTATGAAAGAGAATGGGCCAGATGCATGGCCTGCGGCGATAATGTGTTTGGATATGTGGGTCCGACCACTACCGAAAATAAAGAGATCCCTCATGAGATTCCCATCAAATACGACGACTGGGTCCCGCTTCAACATCACATGTCGTTCATGACAGGGAACGTAACGAAGGTAATCAATTTTATCTCGTCTCCGTTCAATTTTTTTTATTGAAATCATTGCAGGTGAGCAATTCCTGTTGTGGCGTGAAGTGGGACGCTTGGGAAACGCATCTGCCGAAATCCGCACTGAGGAAGACGAACTAATTTTTAGGATTTGTGGATTTACGCTTGGGTGCTGTTTCTCATAAATTGCACTACGATAGTTGCCTACTTATTACTCCTACCAATGTGCTACAGATGTTGCTACTCTTATTTCTGTATCCTGTTCTTACTGGATAAAATGTTTACTTACCGCTGATTGATACCCATAAAACCCTTTCTCGTAGGATCGAAAATTATAAATAGGTGTAGAGAAACATGCTGAAGGGTGAAGGTATACCACCAACCTATCAATCATACTCTTTATATGATCATGTGTGTTATTGCACACTATGTCCACTTTTGGCGTTCTCATCCTGGATTCTAGCAGTGGACAACCCTTCATTTGAGTGTTTTGGTATTTCTTTGTCTTTTCTTTACTTTTTGGGTAGCAGTTTCCACAAACTGATGCAAGATTGACAATGGGCTAGTTTTTTGCATTTTGTTATCACAAACACATTTACATCTCACATTGCTCATCCTCAAATTTTATTGCATGAGTGTATCTCGCGAAATTGTACACATTGAATCTTAGAATTGAATCTCTGAAAGCTATCCGCCGCGGAAGGTTTTTTTGGAAGTCCCTTGATCTACTCAACTTTGGTCAACCTATTTATAAGCCTTTTTTTGGATCAGAAAGAACATACTTTTTCCTATGGAGATTCGCTGATTATTAAATCAAACTCGAACACATCGTCTTCATGAAACAGTGAATTTGTCTACTGGTTCTGAGCACTTATGCTTAAAAGTCACACGACACGTATTTGAGTGAACAACGCATGGACCAAATAAAAGATATTCTGACGCAAGATCCCAGATGCTCGGCTTTCACATGATATCTTATAATGTACAAAAATGATGCTCACCAGCATGAAAGTGTCTTTCAGGGGGGGGGGGGGGCACAAAAATTCTACAGAGGCAATATCTCAAAATGTGACGAGAGAAGCTACGTGAAATGCTGAACTTGGCATGCCTTGTTACGGTAATGCTCCCTTCTTTGATAGGCTACCATAACATCCCATGTAAGTTGCACGATACTGTATAGGCATTGGTAGGCCCCCTCCACTCCCCCCCCCCTTCCCATCGTAACTTTTAAGGAGTAGTCATCTTTGTTGCATTGTGGGTGACTCCTTAAAGGCAGCGGCTCGGCAGAATGATAACCTTTTTGTACATATTCATCGTTCCGGTTTCCCCTGGACGAGCTAAGTCCAAGACTGTGTTTTGCAGCTTCAAAAGATATCAATAACCCGCTTTTCGAGACGTGAAAACTGCTAACTGGCCGGACCGCGTATCCTGGAGCGCGATCGGCTTGTGAGTGGAGGCACCGTACCTACCTCCACGAGTCAATAGCGCTCGAGGGCAGGCATACGCCATTCGCCCGAATAGCATTTTTCACTTCTGGAAAAGCGGTTTATCGATATCTTTTGAAGCTATAAAGCCCAGTCTTGGACTTAGCTCATCCGAGGAACCGAAAACGATGAATATCCCAAAGCTGTCCTTCTGCTTAGCCGCTGCCTTTAATTCAAGACATCCATTTAGTACATACTACTAAATTCTCCACGTGGTGTTCCACTGTGGCATCTAACTTATGTGGAGCACAGGGCACGATTGAGAAATACTGCAGATGTAAGCGAATCTCGAGCTGGGACCAGCACAAAGTACAAGGGCTCTAGACGTGGCTGCACCAGTCTTGACTTATACGGTTACCAAGCTGACGCACAATGAAAGATCCATCTCTGGCAAGTTTTTGTTTTCATATATTCATATTCAGTTTCTCAAAATATGTTCTAGGTGGAAGACATTGGAAAGCCGAAGAGCAGTGAACGGGTTAAAATCAACGTTGGCGGCGTGATCTTCGAAACTACAGTATCCACGCTGACAAGATTGGATGATACTGTACATTTCAGTCCGTCTGCTTGTCCTCGCCATGTTAATAATTTTTGAGGTGCTGTCCGCAATGGTTGCAAAACGCTGGCGCAATGAAGAAGAATTGTTTGTGGATCGTGACCCAACTTACTTTGGAAAAGTTCTAAACTAATATCCCTTCATTAAGGACAGCTGAAGAGTATCTTTAGGATCTTAACTATCTGAGAGATGGGGAAGATTTTGCGCTCCCAACAGATCGTGACGTTCGAGAAAGCCTGCGAAGGGAAGCGGAGGTGAGATTTTGCAAAGTTTTCGAATCACCACTTTATTGGAACTTTGCAGTTTTACAATCTGCCCGGACTTGCGAAGATGTGTGGCCCTAGTCTGCACAAAGGAGATCGTGTAGAGTGGAAGAAAAGCGCCATAAAGAAGTGGTGGAAGTTTATGGCAAGGTAGGAGTCATACTCCATTGTCGAGCACATTGAATGAATTTGCTATAAGTTGACCTCGTCGTGCAATCTGTTTCCTCATTTTCCCTAACTGAGTCGTAAGCAAAACTTCTGCTAGGTGTGCGTACTATGGAGCGAAGCCATGTCTGACTTCTGTCCAATGCAAAAATTGCGTGGATTGCGGATCTGGAGTGTGCAGCTGTGATGGATCTGAAGCTCTCGGCCCGAATGCAAAGGCGATAAATTATGATGAATGGATTTCTGTGAAGCATAAGATGAAATCTGTGAAAGGATATGTGGTGGAGGTACTGTCAGACACAATGCAGTAAATTTGTTTTATCCAAGAAAAAATGTTGCAGATTGTACCGAATACTTGCTGCGATGTGGAGCATGGTTTTTGCTGCGGGGTGAAGTGGGATAACGGATGGTTAACACATAACAATCAATCCGAGCTACGTTTGGCAACACCGCAGTAGAACTTTGACAGATTACACACACCCTACCATTACTACCTAAACTAATTTGCCTGTTGTCAATCGATCATTGAGCATACTCGCTTCGTTGACAAACTTCATGCTTAACCTTTGAAATGCTTCAGTAGTGGTTGTGCGCAGGTGGGCGCAATTAAACAACAAGCGTTTGCCATTGGGTGTCGCGTATGCGAAAAAGATGCCATACATGCAGTAAGTAAGAATCGACGTACTGGATAAGTTCAGAGTTAAGGAGAGACGATTGCGACCGACGCCTAAGCGACACCATGTGCAAAATGTTTGTCGTTTAGTGCGCCTCTTTCGCTCAACCGACTCTCAGTGGTTCATTGATGAATCATGGCACTCAATTGTATCCTATGTGCGATTGCACACACTAAATTCATCTCGGCACACATTTACAGATTCTCTTGACATAGGAAACCCCTCAATAATTATTTCTTTGCGAAGGCTGAGAAGTTCAAGAAAAATGGTATGAGGTGCGCCAGTGCTCAATGTGTGCAATCTTCACATATTAGGACATGAGATAACCTGAGATTTGGATAGATGAGCTCAGCAACTGTATCAACCAGTCCACACTCTACAGACGATTCATCGCACTCTGAGACTGGACGCCACTACGTCCGATGAAGATAGTGTGTGTTACAAGAGACACTAGACCGCGAGAGAGATGGTGTGTCTGATTTGAGTGAAGCAAACAGCGTCCGCAGTTCGCCTGTCTCTGCGTAAGACGATTAGCCTGTACATTTGTAGTCTACATATCCGCCTGAATATTACGATATCCTGCAAAATTATCACAGCTCTACCTATAGTTTGCATCGTATCACGTTAGCTCTGATGCTACCTTCCTGAAAGTCATAAATGAAGTCATTATTTGTTGAGTTTCTCGTAATAAAACTCACATTTACAATGTGTATGTTTTTGTAGATGAACAGTTACTTTTGTTACATTGTTCGTACATCCATCTCTGTACTTTTCGACTACGTATCGTACTTTAGGATAATTTGAAGTGATAACGGAAAAGCACCGAGGTCTTTTAGTAACAAATGTAATGCTGTTTGACTACAGAGAGCATCACTCTCACCTCCGGAAGTAGATATTATAGATTTTCAATTTCTGTTCTTGAGGAAGGAATATCGACTTTGCATCTCATTTAGCATCTGACAGAACCTTTTCGCCAACGATAACAGTGCGATAAACTGTTTTATTTCCAAATGTTACGATACAGTTTCCGATTCTGTGAAACCCTCATCGCCTAGAAAGTCGAGGATCCAGATAAGCGACAGGGTTGAATATTTTAGCGACTCATTTCGGCAAACTTGCCCTTTTGAAGCAGTGGCCCGTCATGAGAAAGCGATTGTTAAATGATAACCGTAATAATAATTATAGCAGATAATAATTACTTGGAACTCCCGCTAAGAACGCGCATGGACGAGAATTACGATTCCTCAAGGTGATAGCTCATTGAAGATAACCATCAGCCTACCAGAATATCTGTGAGTACTTGTTTGAAGGTGATTTCATAGGCAAATTCACAACGAAAAAATTCCAAGAAGACTTCAGTATGAGATGTAAGACAAGTTACGAAGATTCTCTGTATTCAGGCTACGTTCATGCCCTGCTGTGTGGGGTTTCACGAGGAAACTGATTGTGGGGCCTTGGCTAAGGCAGTGTTCAAGCTGCAGCACAAAAGATTGGTCCAAAACCAAGAAAAGTATCTGCGAAAATGGCCCAGTATCGTATTTAGCGAACTGTTTGTTTCACCTCGCTTCTTTTGCGCCATATTTCGTATACCGTAACTCATCACCAAAATTTCAAAGTCTCGGATCTTGGAAAAACCTTGCACAGTAGGGCCATTCAATAGAATGATTATTTTGATTCATGCTAACTGCAAACCAATTCGCGTGCTGGTCTTTCCGGTGGGATTACTGCAGTAAGGTAAACTACAGTAAAGGATTACTGTAGTAAGGCAAACGTCCTGTGTAGTATTAATTAGTAATCCATAAAGTATAAACATTGGATTATATCGAAAGAGGAAGGATATTTTGCATCTAGCATCAAGTAGCCCTTCTCCCTCTTCCCCCCTCTCCCCCCCCCCAAGCTTCCCAAACAATTTTTCACACTGTTCCAACCGATTCTGTATCTTATCAGCGAACGCATTACACCAAGACTTCTGCCCCTTCTTTTTGTGCGCATCGACAATCTTTCCATGTCCTCTTTTGCTTGTGACTATGAGTGGCTGAGGGCAGGTCTTCACAATTGGAAATAGATGTCCGAAGGCAGGCGGATCTCGTTGTGGGACCCACTTAAAGTACAGTTGCTTTGGATGGGGATGCATCAGTTTCTTCGTAAATCGCGACGAACCGAGCAGACACACAATGAAGGATCCAAGTCAGGCAAGTTTTTTTTGCAAGCCCAGCTACATAATCCTTCGGTGATGAACTTAGTTTCAGGTAGATCAGGGCGAACAGTCCAAGACCGGGGGGAGAGTGAGAATCAACGTGGGTGGAACAGTCTTCGAAACTACAGTCTCCACGCTAACAAGATTGAACGATACTGTAGATCAAATCACTTTTCCGCTAATCCATTGCTTAACGTAGTTTAAAGGTGCTTTCCGCTTTGGTTTCGAATCGTGGAGTCAATCAAACCAGGAAGAAATATTTGTGGATCGTAATCCGATTTATTTTGGAAAGGTAATGCACTAAGTTAGTTTTGTCAGTGGGAACATATGAAGAAAGTCATCTTTGAGGTACTGGATTACCTACGCGATGGAGAGAATTTCGCTGTCCCAACAGATCATGACGCTAGGGAATGCCTTCGAAGGGAGGCAGATGTGAGTTCTTCGCTATACATTAGCGCTCGCAATCCGGGTGGGGAAGGGAAACCGCTGGAACCTTGTAACTTGGATCAATTTGACTATTACGAGATTGGTTGTTAAGTTTTGGAAAGCCAGTGGTACATGAGTTCAAAGTAAAACATATTCGAATTTACTCTCGTCTCGAGGGTCCTTAATGGATCGCCGCGGCAAAAAGATCGTCTCTATAAAATCGCCGCATGCTTAGATCTTGATAAAGTTGGATTTTTTTAACTTGCGTTCGATATTTGGAATAACACAGCACTGAGATTGATAAAAAGGATAAAGTTCCCACAAAAGTGCTGCCTCTCAAAGTTTTTAATATAGTCGCATTAGAAGTTTTAGTGCAAACCATGATGTTTTCCAATCTCTGACTGGTGCGACTGTTTCATTGTGATTATTCCGCCGTGCTGGAAATTTTTTAGTTGGAAGTGTCTTGAGAAGAAATTTGATGCTATATCACTTAGTACAAACCAAAAATCAGAATCGCGGATTTCTTTAAAAATTCGCCTGAGAGGGGGGGGAGGGGTGTATTCGAGTTGATTACGCGGGTGATATCCATTCCGCATGGTGGGCCCTTTTTCGGGCGGGGGGGGGGGGCGTTACTGCAGGCATACGATATAGGGCCAAAATCTCAGATCGCTGGGACTTTGCGCGGAGAGCTTATGCGGCATAATCTCGAAAATCACACTTTTCGCGCAAGAAAAGTTCTCCATCCATACATTGGGGTAAATAGTGGGTTGAAATATAGATTGGGCTGAAATTTGATCTAATGGGTTGTTCGACATGCGAACGTATATCATAATGATTTCGCAGGATCGCGCCATTTACTCCAGTTACGATGGGTATACGGTAGATGGGTTAAGTTCTTTTGCTCAAAACCTTGCCTAGAGGGATCTCCGAGCGCGCTGATTACGAATATCATGCTAGCTCTATGCAATAGCGCCTTGTTGTGGAGTCATAATAACCTGCAGCGTTAAAATAAACACTTTTTCGCTTCTCAGGCAAATTAGACTCACTCCATGCGAAATGATTTCGATATTCGTGATCGCCATATCAGATAACGCCCGTGCACAAAGTTTCAGGCAGGTCTACGATTTTGGCCTCTTATCATGCACCTGCCGTACTTCTGCGAGAAAGTCAAAAATGCAAGAAGACTGCGATATCCGTGAACGCCATTTCGAATAATCCTTCTAGAGCAAACTCGAGCCAAATCTAGATTTTAAAACCTATCTCACATTCATCTAACCACGAAGGGAGACGTTTTCGTGAGGAATGTGATATGCTGATCAGCATTCTGCATGAGCCCTCTACCAAAGTTCCAGCGAGATCTAGGATTTTGATTATGTGCCGTATGCCTACCGTAACCTCTTGAAATAGCGTACCACGCAAAATGAATATCATTTTCATGGTCGGCAGGTCGAATAATATAGATAGTGTGATTTTTCATCGAAATCCACGCTTCCGATTTGAGTTCTATTAAGTATAATATTACAAAAATTATTCATATTTTGCAAATCCTGTAGATTTTTCAGAATGCATTTCAGTATCTGTAGACACAGTTGCAGTTTTACAATCTTCCTGAGCTTGCCAAAATGTGCTCATCCGTCTTGCACATAGGCGACCGGGTCATGTGGACGAAGAGTGCGTTGGAAGAAAAATGGAGAGCTTATGCCAGGTGAGAGTTTAGGGTTTTTTCGATTTGTCAAAAACTTGGCCACCGCCGGAGTAGATTGAAGTCCGCGTCGTTTCGCCATATCTTGGTTCAGAGTGAGGGAATGCTAAATCCAAAGGTGTCTTTGACTCAGCGGCGAGATGCGTCCCTTGATATATAGGAAAGCCTGTTTGAGTACGGTAGACTGTTAGTTCTCACGAATCTTTTTGGATTTTGCCTTTGGCAGATTACTCATTGTGCAATGAATAAACACACCGATTACCGTAAACGAAAATCCAGAAAGGTTTGTGAAATCTGACCGTCTATTGTGCGCCCTACCGTATCCAAAAGGGCCGAGATGAGACGAACCTTGGAGCGACTGTCTTTGGATTGAGAATCGTTTCAATAAAGCAAGATAAGGAGATGCGGTGGGGATCTTGGTGATTTGACGGATTATAGGCTTTATTGTATTGGATTCGCTACAGTATAGTCTACCCTAGATAAAGATACCATCATTTTTTTCCCGAACCAACATGACATTTTTTAAGGTATGAGCACAAGGGGAGAAAGATATGTGGGGAGACCAATTGTGTGAACTGTGGAACAAAACTGAATAGTGTGGATTCGAGCAGCAACAATATAAATTATGAAAAATGGGTGCATGTGAAGCATGAAATGCGGGTCATGAAGGGAACTGTGACGAAGGTAGTACAAATACATTTAGAGACTAGAAATTTTTGCTAACTCGCAAACTGCAGGTGCATTCAAGGGTGTGCTGTGCCGTAAAATGGGACAATGGTTGGTATATTCATAATCGCAAGTCAAGTCTGCGAATGGCGACGTCGCAGTAAATTTCCATTTGCCACTATGTCATCAAATTCATTTATTTGGCTTTTTATGTGCTAAATTCGTTTACTGCTAATCATTAGCCGAATCTATAGGTTTCTTCTTTGGCTATGAAATAAATGACAAATTTATGGTCTTGGTAATTTTTGCTTTTTTGCTTGTATTGTCGCTATATACCATATATGTCGTGATCTACATATTACATTGAGTACAGTGATAAAAGCAATAGTATAGCATTTCTCGCATCATTTGTAACAGACAAAATGCGATAATAGCAGCAAAGATTGATTCCCAGATTGAGAGACGGTTGAGGCGCGCAGATTGCCTTTCCATCACTAAGGGAGCTAGAAGAAAGTTTGCATAATTTTGTTCAGGATGCGAGAAGGTTTCTGGGAGCGAAAATTTCTTTGAGATAGAGCCTTCTAACAATTCTGTTTTTTGATTTTTTGCGGGCATATAACCTCGAAAATTTTGAAAACGGGCTAAGTTATACGAGAGGGCGGAGTACCTTACTGGTGTACTTGCAAAAATCTTTCCCATCATTTCTGAGCGGGACTCGCGAAAGCTGCTTCAAAGGAATTCCGTGGAAGCTGAACTTAGGAAATTCGGGACATTATCATCTTTAAAAAGGACTGAGTAGATCTTTGCTTCTAGAGTTGCCAATGCCAGCTCCATGCTAGCGCCGTGCCGGAACATGGAGAGCAGTGTGGGGCGCGGCCACGTGGGTTCCGGCAGGGTGCTAGCACGGCGCAGGTACGGGCAACTCGATGCTATTTAGGCACCAACTTAAGAAAGGATGGTGCTCTTCCGCCCTCCGCCAGAGAATTCGCGCGTTTCTGAGTTGAAAAATTGCACACTTTTTCACACTTGTAAGCAAGTGAAGAATCTCTTGAAATTTTTCAAAAACTCGAATATGTAAGTGCAGACACAGTACAAAGTGGTAATTCTGAGCAATATGGCTCATTGTGACCAATCTGCAGTCTTAGCATAAATTGTATAGCAGTAAAATTGTTTGAAGCTGCATGGCCACGTGTGATTTCGATTTGTCTTGCGGAGAGGTGAAATGAAGCAGTGAGCTCTGCATGCACTTTCTGCAGTCTGCATTGCGCAAGACTTAATACTGCAAATCGAAAAGAATTTATACTACCTGACAGTTTCCCATACTTTCAACATTCTCCTGAATTGCTATGTCTCTCATGCTCTCTATTTCCTGTTCAATAAAAGCTTTCAAGTCTGCCCCAATATCCGTAGCAATCATCGCAACAGCGAGCGTTCAGAATTCAGCTGTGATGCAGTCGGAGAGCCAACTCTGTAAAAGATTCTAGGCAGGTACAGTTATGTACAGTCGAGTAGATTCAGCGGTAAATACAGGGTGTCCCAAAAGTATGTATCGAACGTTTGATCGTTAATATCTCTCTTCCCAAGAAGTCTTTTGCCTTGCTTCAAGTACCGTTTTTAGAGCTGGCTTCAACTTAGATTTGCATTAAAGAACGAATCACCCATCTCTCTTCATTACTGTAGGATTACGGTAGAAACTTGAAACGTATGGTGTCAATGTGGAAAAAGCTGCAGTTCCAGAATTCTTCAAAAAATTGTGAAAACTTGTGTAATAGGGTTTTTATGGATGCTGAGTTCAATACTCAACTATTCACAAGATTACAAAGCTTTCTAAACGGTGTAATCGCACTTTTTAGGAACATTGAAAAAATGGCCGCTACCTCTTACCTGGCATAACTCCTCAATGAAGCATCATAATAAGTTGGGAACTTTACAGTTATAATCAGCAACTCTAATTAGCCTAGTGTGAAAACTTTCAGGCTGTTTTATTTCCTTTCTAAGGCAAAATATGGCCTTTCATTGCTTAAAACCCTCTTTGAAGTTTCTACCGTAATCCTACAGTAATGAAGAGGAATGAGTGATTCGTTCTATAATACAAATCTAAGTTGAAGCTAGCTCTACAAAATGGTACTTGAAGCAAGGCAAAAGACTTCTTGGGAAGAGAGATATTAACGATCAAACGTTCGATACATACTTTTGGGACACCCTGTATAGTGTGCTTGCACAGAAGGTGAAATGCGGTAAAATTGGCGCGTGAAGAAATAGCTTCAGCTGTGATGCCAGCCAATTGCGCGCGCAAGATACCCGCGGTACTGACGCGGCTACTTGTTCACGCGCAAATTTCACCGCATTTCACCTTCTGTGCAAGCACACTATATTTACCGCTAAATCTACTCGACTGTAGGTTCTACGGCAATTTGTTCAGCTTTTCATAACGGTAACTTCACAAAGCACGGCCTCCGCGGATTACTGGTCCTAATACGATGCACAACAGTAGGACGAAAGAACTAGCAGCCGCAGAGGCGGAGCCTTATCGAGGTGTGCGTTCCTCAACCCAGTTGAAATGAGTGTAGGCTTTTAACGCATCTGTCAACTCCTAAGTTTAACCAATCGGTTTCCTAGCGGGAGACACTGCATATTGACAAATCGATAAAATCAGCTATCCTATTCTGAACTCAGTCAATGTATGATTTCATTTACGTAAGCCGAGTCTGAATACGGAAGGAACGCATGGTGACCGGGTGCATTATTTACTTCAGTGTGAAGATTTGATTATCTGAAACTCTTCTGTGAACTGACTACGAAGTCCTAGAAACCACTGCCAAGCGACAGTTTTTAATACATACGTGTTTTTGTGGCCGCACACATTTCTTATCTTCCGCTCAGTACCGTACTCGAAGACGCTGATCGGCCCGCTCGAGAGAGTACAGTACTGCGAGCTCTATGTCGCCGCCACAAATGAATATGTGAACTGTCTTTTGGACATTAACTCAGTTAGAACTTCCAGTCACTTTTAACTAGTCACGCCACGCAGATTTTGGACATTGCTTTGATCCTGAAAAACTATCGCACAGATCATTTTACGCATGATAGGTGAAAAAATCGTATTAATCATTGTCAGCGTTGTCTTCACCTTTTTCACTTTGCATGATTAGAAATGTTGATCATTGTGCAGAGAAAGCATTATTGTCGAATTACATTTCCTAGCCAACTTAGAAACAGGAGGGTGTGGAAAGCTAAGATTCCCACATAGACCGTTGTTTTTCTTCCAAAAATTCATGTCTCTGGACTGAAAGAAACATAAAGTAGCACCCCTATACAGTAAACTCGCCGACAAAATTTCCTGCAAAGATTGAAGGTGGAGTCTGATATACAAGACACACATTTTTACTGGGAAAATCTCCAAAGCTAGAGAAAAGGATGCCTGGTGCCTGGTGTGTTCTAGCGAGAATCGCCAAACAAGTCAACTATTTCACGTTTCTCGTTACTATGTGCTTAAGCACACAATCTATTTTTTTTTTCAACCCTATCGTAGAGGCACGAAGCGTTGCGAAACAGTTCTTCGCATCGTCGTGGGACCCAATCGGGATGGTGTTGTTTTGATGGTGGCGTTGGATCCTCAGTGTAACAATAATACGCTGGCTATTGCATAATGGTGAGTTTTATGATCTCGCTATCTACAAGATATAGGTACTCTCATATCACTTAAACGATGGAATATAGCCATGAACTTCGAGAATGTTCTAATTCATCCCCTCTCATCGTCAAAAAATTTCTTGTAGACACAAATCGTTGAGCTTCCATTATGTGACGATCGCATAAGAATCAATGTCGGCGGACAGATTTTTGAGACCTCCTTCTCAACTCTTATCAACGTGGAAGACTCTGTGAGTTCAACCTCGCTTATATCTTGCCCATTTCTGACCTGATTTCGTCAGCTGCTATCCGCAATGGCAAAGCGTGGAAGGAACCAGGAGGAACTTTTTATCGATAGGGACCCGACTTATTTCGCAGAAGTAGGTATAGATTTCGCAGTAATTTTTTTCATCTTCAAATTTATACGGAATTTCATTGCAGGTACTAAATTACCTACGAGATGGTGAAAGCTTTTGCCCTCCTATGGACGATGAGGCTCGGGAACGTCTTCGTAAAGAAGCTGAGGTACATCTTAGTGCGAAATAATCTTCTCTGCGTACACCCACTGTTTCAGTACTATAAGTTGCCCGGTCTAGCAGAGATGTGCCTGCGCACAGATTTCCAGATTGGAGATACTGTGCAGTGGAAGCAGAGCGCCATTGAAATCTACTGGAAATTCTTCGTCAGGTATTGGAGTTGGAGTTTCTCGACCTAAAAACATCGTAGAAGCCATAGTCGCTCTCGTCTAGGCGCATACTTGTTCATACAGCTAAATTGTGCCTTTGCACACAACACATTGAATGTAAGCGCATTGAATTCTCATCACATCGGCCATGGTACTAAATGATAAAGAAGGCTTTAGTAAATGTTCTGTTGCAAAAATCGGAAACTAGTAGATGGAATGAAAGCGTTTGTTTAGAAATGTGCGTAATTGTGACAACCAAGAACGTGGAGCCTGCGCGAAGTGCCCGCTGTATACATCCTTACAGTAACAGGATTGGCTCTGTATATCCTATGTTCCAGATATCAGTACCATGAAAGGGAATGGGCCAGATGCATGGCCTGCGGCGATAATGTGTTTGGCTACGTCGGACCAACCACCACCGAAAATAGAGAGGTCCCTGATGAACCTCGTATCAAATATGACGACTGGATCCCACTCCAGCACCACATGTCCTTCATGAAAGGGAACGTAACGGAGGTAAGCGGACTTCGCCTCGTCTCCGTCCAATTTTTACTGTAATTTTTACAGGTGAGCAACTCCTGCTGTGGCGTGAAGTGGGATGCTTGGGAAACGCATTTGCCAAAATCCGCTCTGAGGAAAATGAAAAATTAATTTTTTGGATTTTCGATTTACATTTGGCGTGCTATTTGTCTTTAATTGCTTAGCTGACAATTGGCGGCAGCTTACTTTACTCCTACTGACGTGCTGTTAATGTTCTTACTACTCTTATTCCTATGTCCCGTCATTACTGAATAAACCGTTCGCTTACTGCTGATTTGATACTCATGGGATTCTTTCTCTTAGAATTGAAAATGATCAATAGGTGTAAACACACTGCTGAAGCGTGAAGGTGGACCAACAATCCATCAATCATACACTCGGACCCTTTGTATGACCCAGGTTGTTGCACACTTTGTCCATTTTGGGTCCCCACACTGGATTGTTTTTCGGTGTTTTTTTATCTTTACTTTTTAGGTAACAGTTTCCACAAACTGATGCAAGCGCTAACAGTTGGTCAGTTTCTTGCATTTTTTCTTCAACAAATCCGGGACGGGAACGCCAAAGATGGAGGTTGTGTGCAGTACACATATGATCATGAAATGGCTCGACTGTACATCTTACATAATAGCTCATCCTCTGTTTCTATTGCATGAATGCATCTCGTGCGTGTTATTGCACACATTCGAATGAAACATTAAAAAGTGCCCTACCGCAGCAAAGAGGGGATCTGGTATTCTCCTGATGTTCTCAGCGTTGTTCAAGTAGTTATGGGCCTTCATTCGTGCATGAAGAAGGGGTAATTTTCTGTTGGAACTGAGCACTGGTTTTTCTCAGAATTCATTATGCTGTTTATTAATTCGAATTCGGCAGGCCGTCTTCATAGATCAGTGAGGTTTTCTAGTGTTACACTGATTAGTATGAATTCAGTTTTTGAACGCTTACGCATAAGAGTTCCATAGGGGCATAATCTCAGAATTTGCCCAAACTTTGTCTACAGAAGCTATGGAAGCGCCGAACTTGGTACGCCTTGTACTCTCTTCAATAGGTTACCGTAAGATCCCAGCAATACGAATAAAACAACAAAATCTCACTAAAGCTCGCCAAAAAATTCTGCAATGAGCTCATTGAAATGACCATGTTAAGTACAATACATATTGAAATAATCCCTATTTAAACTAATGATGCTTTTCCGGTGAGATCGCGGTAGTTCAGGAAAGCCCTCCTTTACTGTTACATTAGTAAATTACAAGGTATGCATACTGTTCAAATATGTAGACGAAAGTGGATGAATGTTTTGCATTTAGCATCAAATAACACTACTTCTTAACCCTCCCCCTTACACAGCATTTCAAACAACTCCGTAACGTTGTGAGAATTCGTTAAACCCTCCCCACCCCCTACTGTTTTATGCGCATAAGGAATCGTTATTACTTTCACTTATGCTCGTGTTGAGTAACTGAGGCAAGGCATGACGATTGAGAAACACTATAGATGTCGATGCAAAGCATCTCACTCTGGGACCCACACGAAGTGCGGGTCGTGTGTTTTTTAATGGTACAGTTGCAACTTCCCAGGATGGGTAGACCATGGAGCACGTTTTTTATGTGTTTTCAAGGGGTTTCTTTTTACGCGTAAATGTCTCCAAGAAAGCATGCGTAGATACCAGCGGCGTACCCAAGATTTCCTTATGGAGGGAGGGGGACAAAATTTTTTTTTTCAGGTGGAAGTGCATGGCATTAACGCACTCCGAAAGCTCATGGTATGCTTCCCAAGATTTAGCGGGCCCACACGCTCCCGTAAAACTCTTCTAATGAAGTTAAATCGAATTAAAATATTTTGAAAATTTTTTATTATTTACAAGTATGAACAAGTCACTTGCACATGTTTATAAGTCATGCAAGTAATTTTCAGAAATATCGCATCCCATTCAGGACCCGCGACCCCCCCCCCCCCTCCCACTCTCGGTACGCCACTGGTAGATACATATGTACCATGCTTTTTTAAATGCCTGCCCCGGGCCCATATCTTCGAAATGTACATATGCACAGTTAACAAAAACCATTCGTCGATCGCTCCACCGAAGCCGTACATTCGAAAATACTCACTGCAAATTCAAAGATGTGCAGTGAGCATTATATATTAGGATGCTAACAGTTGTATCTGTATCTGGAGTAGCCAGTAAATCCTTTGAATTCAAATGTGAATCAAAGAGCATCCTTTTCTTGAGCAGAAAGCATTTGATTTCGTTTCCAGTCTCACTTTTGAAAAAAGCGTGTCAACAGCGTCACATTACAGTCCGTATCAATCACGTGCTCCCTTTTCCGTAAGCGCAATGAGCTTCGCGTCACGTTCGCGCGCATATGAATGGGCATTCAAATGGGCCTCATCGATTGTAGGTTCGCACGCAGGGCCCTTGCGCTGCGTATGCATAGTTCGCATGCGAAAGAGAGTACGTAATTGACATCGACTTTATGTTTGAGATTGTTTATGTCAGCGAAGCGTTACCGTAAAGATTCTTCTGGTGGCAACGTTTGAAATGACTTCGTAAGATCTCTTATATTCATCAAAAAGCATAATGAAGTCCATGAAACTAGTTGCCCACTACTTCGTGATGTGTCAAGAGCATGCTTACAAAGAAAAAGTTGATGGGGAGGAATTTTTGCGAGAGTGAGAATTCAGAATTGTACGAGTGGTGATGAATATAAGCTCTGCATAGGCTGTACTTTATTCTGACAGATCAAAGATACAGCAAATCCAGCTGATGATTTCACAATGTATTTGATCGTTGGCGAATGCATTGTATTCTGAATCCTGGAAAATTTAATGGTTTTTCGATCCTTGTACCACTGCATTCCAAAAACCCCCTGTCCGATCTCTTGAGATTTATTTTGCATCTAGTTATCACGGGGTTCCGACAATTTTGTCAAAATTATCAAGTCGCAGCGTCTTTGCCTCTGAACAAGGAACTGCATTGTCGGATAATCTCTGAAGTGAAGGTTTTGTGAAAGATTTATTGTTCATTACATTCCACTCAAAGGTGATTGGATAGGCAAATCCACAGAAAGAAAAATTCTAGGAATATGAGATATCAGTGCAATATGTATGACAAATTACGAAAACCATCTGCTTTCAGGCAACGTTCTGGACTACGTGTAGGATTTCATGCGGAAACTGGTTGACTAAGGCGCTATTAAGGGAGAAGGTTATCTCTGAATATTTCCAATACCGTATTTAGCAAATAACTTGCGACGTTACACTACGTCGCGCTTCATACACTCTAAATCGACATCAAAATTTTAAAATAGCGAACTCATCAATTAGAATGCTTACGTTAAGTAGATGCCTAATAACAACTGATGCCAATCCGTGTGATAGTCACTTTCGGGCAGGATTACGGTAGTAAGGTAAACGCCTTGTGTGGGACTACGGTAGCAACCTAAGTATAAACATTGGGATATGTAACCGAACAAGGAAGAATGCTCTGCTCTAGCGACAAGTAGCATTACTCCTTCCTCGCTCCCCCTTCCCCACACCCTCCCTAGGCAAGAGCTCCAATCACTTCTGTTACGTTGTTAGCGACTTCATCACAGCAAAGACTTCTCGCCCCCTATTGTTTTCCGTGCGCACCAACAATCTTTATTTCTCCTATGTTCGTGAGGCTGGGAAACATCGTAGATGTCCGAATGCAAGCAGATCTCACTTTGGGACCTACAATTTCACTTTGGGACTCACTCAAAGTACAGTCGCTTTAGACGGGACAACATCAGTTTCTTAAATCAAGACGAATTGCAGAGCGGGCACAAAATGAAGGATCCCCGTCAGGCAAGTTTCCAAAAAGCTATGCACACTTTCTTCAGTGTAGGAAATTGTTTCAGGTGGAAGACGGCGAACAGCCGAACAGCAATGGGCGAGTCAAAATCAACGTGGGTGGCACGGTTTTCGAAACAACAGTCTCCACGCTTACGAGACTGGATAATACTGTAGCTCTAAATCCAATACTTTGCTAATTTTCATTACAGCAAGGTTTTAAGGTGCTTTCCGTCCTTGTTTCGAATCGTTGGAATCGGTCCAGCCAAGAAGAGCTATTTGTGGATAGAAACCCGACTTATTTCGGCAAGGTGCAGCAAAGATTCATTATCTGTGGGGAAGAGAAGTTTTTTTCAGGTGCTAGACTACCTAAGAGACGGAGAAAATTTTGCCATTCCAACAGATCGCGACGCTCGAGAAAGTTTGCGAAGAGAGGCTGAAGTGAAATTTTGCAGAACTTAGAAAAATCTTCACTTCAGTCGAATTTTGCAGTTTTACAACCTACCTGGCCTTGCAAGGTTGTGCTCGCCCGGTTTGCACGTTGGAGATGGCGTACAATGGAAAGAAAGCGCTATTGAAGCATATTGGAAATGGTTTGCCAGGTAAAGTTTATCTGGTGGTGGAGCGCAATCTAGCAATTTTTCTACACTAGCCAAGTTGCAAAACATATGCTAGGTTCGAGTACAATGGAAGGAAGACGTGTCCTTGTGCGAATTGCGAGACTTGCGGATGTCAGGTGTGTAGTTGTGCCGGCTGTAAAGCTCTCAACTCGAATGCAAGCACTATTAATTATGAAGAATGGAAATCCGTGAAGCATCAAATGAAATTCATGAAAGGATATGTGACCAAGGTAATACCCAGTTGGAAATAGAGACCCATATAATTGAATTGTTGCAGATTGAGTCCAAAAACTGCTGTACTGTGGAATGGGATAACGGATGGCGCAACCACGCCCCGCAATCTGCGCATCGTTTGGCAACGTCTGAGTAGATCATTTGAATAACCCACTATTTGTCAAATATTCACTTTGCTTATTTGGTCTGTTACCAGAGATGTCTGTTTGAATAGTTTTTGAAAAATGTCTCTGAAAAATATGTTTTTTTGCCAAGTAGTCGCGCAACTCACATAAGTTAGTTACAGTTGATATTTTCGCCCTTATTGTTAGATTACATTAAAAATCCGTCGTATCCCCATACGTTACTGTATATAATTCGATCATAAAGCCATGTGCAAGCATTCAGTATGTGTTTTGTTTTTTAATTGCGTATTCTCATCACTGAGTAAGAGTCAATAAATCATTCGTTATAAACGAAGATTGGCAGCTAAACGTGTGGTCTTTTAAGAATTTACGCACATCTTGCTGTCTCAGTGCTTTAGGCTTCTCATAAGCTTTATCCGAAAACTAGCTGTGCAGCTCGAGTGAAACTTACAAGTATGAACTCAGTTACAGCAGATTACAGGAATTCCAAAATTTCGAAAGAAATTTGTATGAAACTCTTCAAAGTGAATCTGTTACCTAAGACTAGAAGACTCGCAACTGCCGCAGACATTGAGGCGATTTTGAATTCAAATCATTCAATAAGAGAATTGTGTGCACAAGGTTGCCTCCGGAGTTGTGACGGCACCGCTAGCGCTGTGCCGTAACATTGGTCGGTTAATGCGGAAGGCGTTCACAGGGTTCCGGCACGGCACTGGCACGGCGCTGGTACACGGACAACTTCAAAACATACCTAAAAGATGGTGCGAACAGTGACAAATCGAGGCACCCTTCCGAGATGAGAAGCGAAATTTCTGGACTTGGCATGGGAGTTGAAAAAATTGCAAATGACTTGTTTTCGCTGGTTGGCAAATGAAATATATTTGATTTTGTAACAACTTGAATAGGTTGCAGAATTATTATTAGTACAAGTGGTTCGTTGAGCACTGTGGCTGTATTGTGACCGATCTAGGACTGGCATGAAGTCATAGTAGTAAAATTTCTTACACGTGCTTGAACCCGTGTAATTATTATGTTATTTGCCCTCGAGTGAAATATAAGCTGCACTCTGGAGAAATTTGGGAACTAGGCCAATCAAAGATGGGTCATGTCCCTTTGAGGGCTTCTTCAAGGCAGTGTCCGGACAAGGTGGGAGTTTTGATTTCAGTGCTATGCGAGAGTGGCCCCCTCACAAGTTAGGCGACATCCCTTGTCAGATACAGCATCACGCAAGTACGAGGATAAAGGTTGGACCCAAAGCAAGAAAAACTATTGGGAAGTGGGGAAACTTACGCCTTGGGGTTGGGGACCTCTGACCTGTTTGAATTCCTGCCATGCGGCAGAGCACGCATGCCGCCACAGTCAAGATCGTGGGGCCCCGCAGCGACTCGGCGCCTAGCTTTGGCGGGGGTCGTCGAATTTCGAATTGTAAGCGCTGGAAGACGCATGTTCTCGCCATTTTCGCTCCTTCTAATATGGGTTTTCGGGTTCTGGTTTTACAGATGATCCCGGTAATTGGATTTTTTAAAAATTCGAATGCCCGAACGCTGCCTTTAAAGGCAGTGGCCCAGGAAAATCGACTGCGAGCTTTTCACACCTACATGACTTGTTGGATGCGAGTCCAGTGCAGACCTTGAAAGGTCAAAAAAGTGTTTTTTACAACGTTTTCCTACCGTGGAGATAGCTGGAGGGATGGGCGAGTTATTTCCGCCATAAATAGCAATCGAAAGACTGCAGGAGACTCTAACTCCACCCATTGGCGGAAACTGGCTGATCGGGTCAGGCACCACTTGCGATGTTGTCGGGAATCTCTCGCCCACCTCCAGCTATCTCCAGGGTAGGAAAACGCCGTAAAAAGCACTTTTTTGACGTTTCAAGCACAGTACTGGATTCGCATCCAGGGGCCATGTAGGTGGTGTGGGAAGCTCATAGTCGCAATTTTCCCAGCCGCTGCCTTCAAAGGCAGCGGCTCGGGGAGTTATGTTGGCGCCAAGCGTCGGTCAGTAATGTTGATCTCGATAAAGTTTCGTCGATGCAAGAATTGGGTACCGCTGAGGAAACATATGCCATACATGAATGAAACAGTAATTTATGCAGCGCAGTACTAATCTGTTGTAAGATCCCGATTTCATGAATTTGAAGAGCAGTGCGCAAGGCTAAAAAGCTAGATAATATCCCATATTTTCGACATTTTCCTGATTACTATATATCTCTCTCATACTGACTCACTTCCTTCAAAAATTTTCCCTTTCGATTTCCTGTTCGATAAAGTCTTCCTAGTCTGCTTCAATATCCATAGCTATCATCGCAAACAGCGAGCGTTATAAACTAGCCGTTATGCAGTGCGGGTTTTTGTGTCTGCATTTTTCACTAAAATTAAATCTGCTTCAGATTGGCACAAATTTCACTCAGCTAGAAAAAGAAGCTCATAAAACTTACGCCTATGACTGTTTCTGACGCTCTCTCTGCGATGATTGGAGCTTTTTGAGCATGCTCAAAAATTGCAAAACTGAAGTAATTCTCTTCTTTGGCTTCAAACTTTCGAGCCATCTCATAGTATTTCGCGGGAGAAGTATTACATAATGTGCAAAATCCTCTCTTTCAAATGAAAATACCTCCGAAATTTTTCGTGATCCAGCTCCAAAAATGCCAACCTTGACTGATTTCCTTGAATTGCTTCTAACTCTCGAATTTTCTCAAACTAAATCATGGCGGAGGTACTGCTGCAAAGAGCATGGATTCCTATTTCAAAAAGAATTAATTTCAAGGTAATCCACTGAGAGGCAAGGAAGTTATGATTTTTTGAAAATGATGCGCAAGAACTTTCGGACCGATCTAATATAATGTTAAAACTTCAAAACCATTTGTTACGATACTGCTCTATGTCTGATCAAGGAGAGATAACTTCAAAGAGGCAGGTTTCATTGTTGGAGAAAGAACGCTACGAATCGAAAATAAAACGTATCGATTGATCTGTCAGAACATCCTTAGGGCCTGGGATGGTTGACTACGTAGGCAAAACAGTTTCGAGATCACTAACTGCAACGCTCTGAACCTGTGAGGCAAGAAGTTCTATGTGTTGATATCATGCGAATACATAAGAAGCAATTCACGCAAGTACGTCGTGCCATGCTCCTGACATACTTCAGTCCTTATCATGCCAACACAGATAAAACTAACCTTGAGAGAAAAGTTCTGATGAATACAAAAATTATACCTTGAGAACTGTACCTTGAGGTACAGCTCAAAGTAAATTGCATTACAGTAAGGTTCATTTTGATTTTCCATTTTAGTTTCACAGAAATCTTGAATAGGAGTGATTCTTATTTCAAGTGACCAGCCAAATTTTGCCGAAAAGAACTCCGAAGTGTCAAAAAGCGCTGAAAGGCATTGAGAGAGCGCAAGAGCGCCACGCGCCAAACACAAGCTCTTGAAATATCAGTGAGGTCTGCAAACCCATTGCCATTGTCATGTTGCTTGTCATGTTCAAGTTCTTTCATTTCAAAACAACCCTCGTACCAGACTTTGAAAGGGGCCAAGACAGATAAATAATGCAAAACCAAACAAGGCAACAACAAAAACTAAGCTCATAGAAACATCTTGAGCACAATAAAAACAACGATCGTGGGATGAAAGGCGTGACTATTCAAGGCTGTTTCGATAGAAAGCTGAAAAAGGTATTAGGGTAGATAGCCGAAATTTTCCACTCGGATTGATTTGATATTATCACGCTTTTTCGGGCAAGTGGCCATATACCATTCCAAAAAATTGTGTTCCAATTCTATAAGTTCTTCAATAAAAAGAGTGTTCTGTACGTCGTAAATATAAAGTGAAGCTAGCTCTTCAGTAATTGGAGATCAGCGAAGTATCAAGATAAGATTGTATACATTCGAAAAATGGGTCCTTTTCACTTGGCTTAACATCAAAAGTGTAGTTGTGCTTTGCAAAACCAAACTTTCTAAGAAGTGGTGTCATATTTACGACAAACTCACTAACTCACTTGCAAAATTTGCTTCGAATGCGAAGGATATCAACAAAGTTACAGTGTCGCAAAGTTGGGCTCAAAAATTCTAAGGCACCCCGTACCATTTCTTCGATGTCGCTGCAACTTGGATTTCCCGTTATGAGTTTGATGAAGTGCGAACTAACGTTTTATCAAAACATATAGTTAAAACGAGGAAAATGGCTAAATTAAATTAACAAACCCTCTTTTACCTTTGAGACATAAAACATTCTCATTTTATCTCGTTCGAACATGTGAGCTCCTCCAGACCGTCTTTGTCAAAACACATGTCAGTTCGGATCCGGAGAGCACAAAACAACAATTAATTTCGTCTTAACAAGAGTTCTATTGCCAATGAGAAACTTCATGTACTGCTAAGACGCCATAACGTGATCGGAATAAATGCCAATGTATAGCACGCTGGCAAAGGTAAAATTTACCTTGAAGTAGATTGATGAGTACCAATTGCTCAAGGTACAATTACCTTGAGGTAAAATTTACCTCAAGGTAGAATACATCTCAGCTTCAAAGATGAGTACGGGACTCTGGAATGAAATTGGCTGTGTTGACATCAAGAGTGCACATTCGGTATGAGACTTTTGCCATTTGCCCCCTTGGTAATTTCAAGTCTATACAGCACACAAGCATATCGCTTTAATGTTGGAACACTCTTACGACATTCTTTCTGCTGCATAATTCAATTAAGCGATATGAGAAACAGCCAGTGGTGATGACAGCTGTAAAAGTTTGGCAGAAAACGAGATCGCTCAACGAGCTAATTCTTCGCCAAGCGCAGTGCAGATTGTGGAAGATGAGCTACCATCATTTCCTGTGGAGGATGAGTTACCAACTTTCTCCATTGCACCTCGCAGAAAGTGCCATTGAGCTGCAAAAACCTTGGAAGTAGATAATGCGCTTATACAGCTGGAGTTCCTGATAACTTACAGAAAGAATGGTACCTCTGGCCGACAACATATGTTGTCTTACATGTAGTAACTCTACAAAGCGAGCAAAACAAGTAAAGCCACAGTTATTATCAGCATAGCCAGATTGTGCAGGGAAATCATCACAAACCGGGCACACCACGCAATGATTCTTTGGAAGCCTGAAATAATATTCATCCCAAAGCGGTCATCCTTCCAGAATATCCTCGTTTACCTAACCTTCGCTGTTGAATAGCACTCACCAATATGTTACTAAAAACTTGCAGTATGATTCGACACTACTTTGCTTCCACTGCACACTGTACCCCACGCGGAAAACTTCAGGCGAGCACATTTCGACAAGTCCAGGCAAATTATAGAACTAAATCCCTTAGACAACGAGGTCTGCTTTTTGTCGGCCTCACCTCAGCCTCTTTTCGAAGCTCTTCTCGTTCACCATCGTCCGAAGGAGGAGTAAAATTCTCAATGTCTCGTAGGTAATCCAATATCTAGATGCAAAGCCTGATTGAGTGGAAAAAAACAAGTTTGGTCTTACTTTTGCGAAGTGCAATGGATTTCTGTCCACGAACAGCACTTCTTGATTTCGCCAGCGACTAGCAACCATAGTAGAGAGTACCTTTTGAGATCAGTTCAAAAGGAATAGGAAAATTGAGCTTCACTCACAGTGTCATCAATTCTTGTAAGAGTTGATAGATAGGTTTCAAAAATTGTTCCACCCACATTGATCTTCACAATCTCCCCATATGCTTGAACACTGTTTTCATCAGCCTAAAGTTTTTGCAGGGTTAGGCTCACTAAGTAACCGAGTTCAATAAAAGAAAAAATGTTTTGCCAAAAAATTTGCGCTGGATTTTACGGCACTGCTCCACAGTATAGAACCAGAAAATACAAAATAGATTCTGCTCAAAGTTTGCCTATGGAGATTATTCGATTTCCTAATCACAAGAAATATTTATTAGGTCATTCCAAAAGTAATTTCACTTTTTCATTCAAAGGGCGCACATTTGAAGGAATGAAGATTTCTGAGAGATCTTGGTAGCATTCCAGCAACCCATGCTCCGTCTAAAAGTCATGAAATTGTTGCAGCATAATCAACGAGCTTTCAGAAAATAACCAAAATTTGCTATCCATGCTTTTTGAGATGGTCAGGTTTCACAATTTTTCTGAACTTTTATATCGACCCTCCGAAGAAGCAAAAATTACCTAAAAAGAAAACCATAAAGGATGCAAAGCAATTTTTTTCTCCTTTCCATAGCTTGCCATACTTTTTTAACAAAATTTCGACTGATGCTACCAATTTCCATACTTGGACAGTCAAATCCTAGTAGAACATTAAAGGGAGAACAGCTCGGGTACTATTTGACAGTTGTTCCTCCTTTTTCTAATGGGAGTTCCTTGTTTCCGATTTGTTTAGTCTCCGGAAATAAAATCATAGTAACTCATTTTTTGAACGCGCCCCAAGCTGTACCCGGAAAGCTCAAAATTGATATTTCAAATCCGTCAACTCTCATTTGCTTTATAAAATTAGTGCTAAATCATGTTACCATCTTGGTAGTCTTAAATTCCGAATAATTACTGATGTTTGATGCGATGTGGCTGGCGTAGGCCTGCCAAAATCCGATGGTCTTGGCCAGAAATCTTTTGAAAAATCATGGCGTGCTATCAGAAAGAGAAAAGAGTTGTGCTGTATCCTATAAGCTTTGCTCTATCAAATTTTTACTTGTACTCCTTTGGAGGTTTGATATAAAAGTTTTGAAAGATCGTGAAACTTGACCATCTCAAAAAGTAATCGGTCGCAGATTTCTGTTATTTTCTGAAAGCGCATTGATTGCGCTGCAACTTCACAACCTTTAGATAGAGGATGAATGCTGTTTCGATGCCTACCAAGATCACCTAAAAATCTGCATTCCATCAAATCTGGCGCCCCTTTGAAAAAAGTTCGCGTGGTGGGCTCTTTAGAAAGGTTATGTAGGCGTACGATATCTCAGACCTCACTGAAACTTTGCAGAGAGGGGTTATTCGACATGTTGATCACGATGATCTATCCGTTCTTAAATTTCTTATGGTGGAAGTACGGCGGGTTAGTATGGGGCCAAACCACGTAATTTGCTGTAACTTTGCCTGAGCGGGGGGGGGGGGGGAGAAAGAGAAGTGGGGTTGCTGTAGGACCTTTTCGCGAATTCACGGTAGGTATACGGTAGGCGGACAAAGTCGAGAATCTGTTTAAAATTATGAGCAGGGTTATCTGACGTGCCACAAATATCGCTTTATTTTGCATGATTTTGCATGATAAGACCTTGTGTGTTTTTAGGATCTAACTGAAGTTGGAAGCGCAAGGGGTATTTACTTATACAACAGATGACCGTAAGTCCACAACTGAACATTATTGCAGCGAAAAAGCATGATATTGGTGAACAATAGAACCCCCTCAGGCTAAGTGTCGAGCAAATTTTGAATGTTGTACCACATACCCTAACCATGGAAAGCGGTTTAGTACGCAGAACAGACATCATACTCGTGACATAGGTTACGATAGGGGAGCATTGTCTCTTTCAGTTGAAGGGGTTTCGGTTATTTCCGACCTAGGAAATTAAAGAGGGGGAGGGGTTACCGTGCCTTGAAATGAATGCTGACGTAAGCTTACATGTCGAGTGGGAATGGAATGTGCGGATGTGCAAAGAAAGAAAATAAGTGTTACAGAGGTAACATGATGAATTTCTCAAGAAGGTCATTGAACAGAGACTTTTTTTCGTTCAAGATAGCCTTATGTCTCATCACTCGACATCCATTCGAAAGCAAGAAACACTTGAACATTCAAACAAGAATAAACGTAGACCGTCTCTTTCTCCTCAGCTCTCTTGTGAACTCACATACTAAAATTCTTATCTAGGTGCAGCACCAGCTGATTTTATGCGATCAGTTTGCGCTCCATTTCTAAAAGGGAGAGGAAAGCTGAAAAAAAAAGACGGTTTACGTTTACTGGCAAGATTTACTCTGTAATTGGACAATCAGGCATTTTCATTCATTCTTTACGCAGAAAACTCTTGGCAAAAACACATATGTTCTAAGCTGTTAATGTTAATGTTAATGTTAATGTTAAAGCTAAAATGCATGTATTTCTGAGTAGAGAAGAGCTAGAGAATAGACGGTCTACGTCGAATCCGCGTTTGTGAGCTTTCTAATGGTATATAGGTTGTTAAGCGGAGAGATTCGTGCCTTTTCAAAAATGATGTGGAGACATTTACTATTTGCTTGCTTCACCCCGCTCTCTCAGTGGCTTGGCTTTTATGGGTCTCATTGTCAGAAGCAAGACTTTTTTGGGAAAGCTTTATGCTCCAACACTTTGTACCATTTGATTCAAATGGCTTGGCATCGGCAAAGGCGGGGCTTCGTGACCTAATCAAGGCTAGATAATGATCAGAGAGCACTCGCGCGAGAAAGACGCAGGTGCGTCGCGGGCGCGAGTGGCCTCAGTTAGATCACAAAACCCCGCCCTAATGGTGCCAAGCCAGTTGAATCAAAGGTTATATTCGATAGCTAAGAAAACGAGGAATCGACATGGGTCGTCTCTTTTTTTTTTACTTTTCTGTGGAGCGAAATATGAGCAGTTCTATCTAGCTACAATACCAGCCAATTCTTGGTAATAATTTCATGCTTCATTTTTGAAACAGAGAAGGTCTTTTTCAAAGTTTTAGAAACGATTCGAAAGCTTGAAAAACAAGTAGTCTAACTGCTCTTTTATTCGTTATTATTCTCTCTAGTGAAAGAAGGTATAGTACGATTTTTGCCAGTAAACATGCATCCATCATTGGTCAATCCGGATTTTCTACTTTTGTTCAACTCTTTCTTGCGACAATTATTCGTTGGTACAATGTTAATTATTCAAAGAATCAGATATCCTTTTAATTTTTAATTATGTTTCGTTATGAACGCTATTTTGAGTGCGACAGGAGGTCTCAAGCATGGTTTTTTCAACAAAAAGGCCTTTGCTTCGACGCTCCCTTGCAATCTTGATGTCCGAGGAGAAGAGCAGCTGGTGTTTCCTTTCCAAACAGAACGTATCATTGTAATGTTCATACTGTCGCTATGCCTTATTTCAATCTCAACCTCAGGTGAAAAAGATCATGCAGATGCCCACCCTAAAGTGAAGGAGTTCAGAGAAATTTCTTTACCTATACATCTATGCTCGCGATTGGCTGTCAAAAAACTGTCTTGTGCAAAACGTATTCCACGTTAAAGCTCCATATCATCCTAAGTCACCTCACCATGAGACGCCATTACAGAGAATGCATATGATCTCCGTGATCAGCATGTCGAATATCCCCCCCCCCACTTGTGCAAAGTTTCAGCAAGATCTGAGATCTTGATCCCATAATACGGCCTAGTAAGCGCTCAAAAGGCCCAACCATACAAAATGATTATTAATTTCGTGATCAGCAAATTAGATACCCCCCTTCCTAGGAGAACTTATAGCAAAATCGTGATTTTGAATTTTTAAATGTATTGTAAAAATAGCGCCAATTTTACTTTAATTCACTTACAATGTACGCATGCTTCAAAAAAAAAGAGGGAAGTGGAACTTTGAACAAATAATCAGAATGGTACCAGCCACTTCCGAACCTTGGAGAGACAGACATGAATAAGAAACTCTCATGTTCACAGAATATGTAAATACATGCTTGCCGAAAGACGTGAGGTAGCACGAAGTCACTATATAATTGAAAGACGATTAAACTCTAGAACTGCTAAGTTTTTAATGAACCCTTGATTAACTGCCAACGAGCCTGTCTGCGGAAGCTAATGACTTGAACCCTATAAACCTAAACTGTTTATAATCTTTATTTGTTTGTTTTTAAATAATTGCAAGTCGAAGATCAAGATCCTGATTTGAAAAATATGTAGATTCGGAAAGGCGCCTGTGAATACCTAATAGATTGGATGAGGAATTGGTTACTCTTAGAAATCATAACTATGATTTTTTTTATCCTCGTATGTGTCTCGCTTATGCACTTATGCAAGATCTGCTTTTCTCGTCAGATGTCTCCATGTTATTCTATCTGAAGCAAGGTCTTCGCATATACCAAGTTCTCGCAGATCGGCCTTGATTCTGTCCATCCACCTCATCCTGGGCATAAGTTTGGGTCTTTTGCCTAGTGCTTCCACCGCCAGGGCTAACTCTGATGTGACCTTCATTCCTTCGGCGCACACGCCCGTACCATCGTAGCCTCTTTTCCTGCATTTTCTGAGCAACTGGAGCTACTTTTACTTGCGCTCGCATAGTGCCGTTGCAGACGTGGTCCTTCAGTGTGATTACTAAGGTCCATCGTAGCATCCTTTTCTATGACATTGAGCTTGCGCTCCTCATTCCGCGTGCATGGCCAGCACTCACTGTAGTGCTGCTGGGCGGATAACGGTCCGATACAGATGGGACTTAAGTTGCACTGGCATTCTTTTGTCGCACAGAACTCCTGTAAGGGCTCCCCATTTCATCCATGTGTTCATCCTACCCGCGACCTCCTCTTTTAGGCCTCCCTCAGCTGAGATGTGACTGCCTAGGTACTTGTATGACGTCGTCTTCTTTAGCTCTTCACCATCGATGCTTATGGTAAGTGGAGCATGGTTCTCCACTTTCATATATTCTGCCTTCCTGTGTTGCATCACGGCGTTCATCACAGTGATGAACGCCGTGATGGAACCGCTCAGACGTGAACCTCCTTGGACACTTCTATATGCAGACGATGTGGTCTTGATAGTAAGCAAAGAGAGAA